TTAAGCTAGCTTTAGGTCTTGTTTTATTCGCGACATAGTATAAGCAGCTTTATTTCACGCGTTACATTTTTGTTTTTTTTTTTCCCTTATCTTTTGTTATCTTGCTCGATATTGCAAAACACAAACATCGGGCTGATGCCGATCATTAACTTGAAGCATTTTTGAAATGACTAACGGCCCCATATCTATACCCATTGTGTTCAAAGCAATGACAGCAAGACTATTGTTTTTTAATCCATTATTTCATTATGTAATTTAATAATAACGAGCATTGAGAAAAATAATAGTTTCTTACATGATAAACGCGTTCCAAATTCGAATTCAGAAAAAGAACATTTTTATACTGCAACATCATTTATGGCCAGACAGATATCAGTAATATTAAATTACTCTTCATAACAACAATTTTGTAAACAACTGATTGCCGTGAATGTGCGCACTAATATCTACTTCTATGTATCTTGTCTGTAAAATTAATGTTTAAACTAGATATTCTAGAACATTCTTTTTCGTTTCAACTATGACTAAGAACAATGTTATGATGTATCTGAGCTATATTAAGCCAGGTTTCTTTTATAAAGAAGTAAGGGTGACAAACAAATATAAAATAAAAAAAGACGTGAGAACGAAGTTCCTTGCGTAGTATATTATTATTGATAAACGTAAGTATTATATTATTGATTAACAAATACAAATAAATGAATTACTAGCGTCTATTAAAATGAAGCGTCATTTGAAATAAAATAATATTTATTTCAAATGACAAGAGGAGTAATCATCATCATTATCATTCATCATTACAGCCCTTCACAAGTCCACTGCTGAACATAGGCCTACCCCAAAGAATGCCACAAAGCACGGTCCTGAGCCACCTGCATCCATCGACTTACTGCATGTCTTACCAGGTCGTCACTCCATCTCGTGGGGGGACGCCCTACACTTCGCCTACCGGTACGAGGCTGCCACTCGAGAATCTTTCTTCCCCATCGGTTAAGAGTAAGAGGAGTAAAGTAGTAGCAAATTGGCAGAATTGGCGAGAAACTAGTTCGCCTTCCTTCGGGAACCCGTGCATTCTGGTCTCCCGCCAAGGCTGTTCAAGGGAATTTTTGTAAGCTATCACTGCCATCTCTGCACAAGGAGGACAACTCACTGGCCCACGCCACAAAAGAGAAAGCCGGACTTTTTTAGGCTACCTTTTGCGTCCAACTCTCAATGACGGGGGGCACACGCCGCCGACCATCCCGCAGTGTGAGTGCTCTATGCCTGATGTGCGATTCACACAGTACTCAGTACGTAAACCACTCCTCTCCCTGGACATACACAAGTCAAGTGGGCCTGACGGAATTCCGCCAAATGTGCTGAGAACGTGCGATCCAGAGTTTGCACCGGTTCTAACGCGTATTTTCCGGTACCCTTAGGCGTTGTCCCGAATTCATGGAAGACAGCTTTCGTGCATCCGATCCCCAAAAAAGGTAACCGCTCTGATCCGTTCAACTACAGGCCTATCGCCATCACCTCCTAATGGAGTCCATTATTAACTGCCAGCTTATGCGGTACCTTGAGGAGCGCCAGCTGATTAGTGATCGCCAGTATGGTTTCCGTCGGGGTATTTCAGCTGAAACAATATTTTAATGATTTCCTATATTTACGCGAATATTACACATTTAAATAAAACTAGTTTTAGGGATTTTATCGCGTATATTAACTTATTTTATATTCCCGACGTTTCGAGTACTTTACAACACCCATGGTCACGGGGGGGTCGTAGGTGGTCGACGTCCCAATGTCATAGTTAACCACCGCTACCAACAGATTAAAAATTATTAATTTTTGTTCCGATCTAGATCGCCACGACGTCGGGAGTATAAAATAAGTTAATATACGGGATTAAATCCGTAAAACTAGTTTTATTTAAATATTATTTTACCAATTTCTGTAGTCAAGTATTGCGATTTGACCCGTAAAATAACCAGTATATTGAAATTCCAGGGAGTTGCGTTTATTTCCCGATGGTAAGCCCATCTGTGGCCTTCTTTGTAAGTTAGTAAGTGTCGACGTGGTCCTTCACTGCTGGCCGGATGAGGAAGCTCAGGGTCGCTCAGCGAGCTATGGAGAGGGCTATGCTCGGAGTTTCTCTGCGCGATAAACTTAGAAATGAGGATATCCGCAGTAGAACCAGAGTGAACGACATAGCCCAACGGATTAGTAAGCTGAAGTGGCAATGGGCCGGCCATATAGCTCGAAGAACCGACAACTGATGGGGAAGAAAGGTTCTCGAGTGGCAGCCTCGTACCGGCAGGCGAAGTGTAGGGCGTCCCCCCACTAGATGGAGTGACGACCTGGTAAGATATGCAGGAAGTCGATGGATGCAGGTGGCTTAGGATCGTGCTTTGTGGCATTCTTTGGGGGAGGCCTATGTTCAGCAGTGGACTTGTGAAGGGCTGTAATGATGATGAATGATGAAGTGTCGATACGGCGGAGTAGCCAATTATCACCTAAAATTATTTATGCATAATACGTTTTTAATTGGAGGTATGCAAAAAGAAGGCAATCTACAAAAGCTACTTGTGAAATATTGACATTTAAATAATATGTTTTAATAATAATACTATTATTTTATAATAATAATATGTCCGCCAGACCAAATTTCAGTCACGACGGTAAGGTTTAATGGAGACCAGTTATCGACGAAGGACTGGGTTATTGTGCCCAAGTGTACCTATGCGCAAGCACAGATGCACTCTCATTCCCTAACTTTTCGATATAGTATGATGGGACGGTAAACCGACACGAGCGGAGAGAGTTCAGGCGTAGGAACAACGGCTTTACGTGCTCTCCTAGGTACGGCGGTGAGACTCCGCGAGCTACCTGACTCCGAGCAGGTACTGAAAATTTCTTGACGGAAAAACTCAATAACTGATTTTTTGGCCCGACCCGTGGTTAGAACCCGGGATCTCATTATCAGTAGTTGGATTTACAACCAATACACCAACGAGGCCGTCAGTAAATTTTATATTGTTTTATGGACAGCCATCATCATCATTACAGTCCATCGCAAGTCCTTTGTTGAACAAAAGCATCCTCTAAAGAATGCCACTCTATAGGGGGCCGTTATACATTTCGCTTACCTGTATGAGGCAGTAATTAGTAAGGACGGAATTCAGATTCAGTGGTTATAACTTGTTTATAAATTTGGTTTTTATTGACTGCGACTGGACTTAATCTGTTTTGATTATATAAAATATCTAGCTGTTCCCCGCAACATCGCCCGCTTGGAATTTGTTGCGATTGGATTTTATGAGTTTTAATTTTTTTGCGTGTAGGCATAATTATTTCTCTAAAATAAAAGTTCTCCTACCTAAGTTATTCCTTATAACATCAGCTATTTGCCAGTGAAAATCTCGTCGAAATCAGTCAGCCATTTCAGAGATTAGCCGGAACAAACAGACAGACAAAAATTAAAAAAAATATTTTTGTTATTACCATATATACTTTCATATGGATTTAGTAAAAAGCCGTTATTTTGACGTTACAAATAGACACTCAAATTTTATTTATTCGTGTATACTCTGTGGATATATTTCTATTTTGGCACATAAATATCTTTGAAATATCCAGTGTGAGTTGTGTGCTTTCAATGTTTGCATCCATTAAATTATAAGTATTTTTAAGGTGCATTAAAGAACACCAAGGTGTGATTAAGGTGTGGTCGTAAGGTTAGGTTAGGTAGCTATCTACATTAAGTTACATTTTTTACATTTGCGCCAATAACTAAATATTTAATAAATTCACTACAGTAAGATTTTTGAAAAATTATTCTTGATCAAATGTAATATTTTTTAATATAAATAGTTTACTTCATAAAAGTCAATTCGGATTCACAAGGGGTCACTCGACAACTGATGCTGTTGTTGAGCTGATTAAATATATTTTCAATGCATGGGAGAATTCACAGGATGTTTTGGGTATATTTTGTGACCTATCCAAAGCCTTCGATCGTGTTCACCATGAAACATTAATCAGATTAAATTAATTGTTTCATATTTAAGTAACAAAACGCAAAACATTGTCATTAATAGCATGAGATCCTCCGGGTTGATAGAACAAATGGGCGTGCCTCAAGGCTCAATTCTCGGCCCCTTGCTGTTTCTTTTATATATTAATGTCTTATAATAACTTGCATTTAAATGGCACTAAAACGAAATGTACAAAATTCATGACTCCCAATATCAAACAATTAAATACTAATGTAATTTTAAATGGGGATGAACTGAGTCTTGTCGATACCACCATTTTTCTTGGAATCACTAGACTCGAATGTTCCATGGAGCCTCCATATATGAAAATTAGCAAGCAGACTTAGTTCTGCAGCATATGCTATAAAAAAGATTAGAAATCTTACTAGTTTCGAAACAGCTAGACTTGTTTACTTTAGCTATTTCCATAGCAAAATGTCGTATGGTATTTTGCTATACACGCAACTGACACTGAAATCATATTTGTTTTACAGAAGAGGGACATAAGATTAATCTATGATAAAACCTAAAGAGTAGCTCTGACAAATATTTAAGGAAATTTATGTAGTAACTTTGGACTCTCAATACATTTATGAAAATGTTATGTACTTACACAAAAATAAAGGTATTTATACAAAAATAAGTGGTATTCATTCTATAAATACTGGGAACAGACGCAACCTAGTAGTACCTCGCTAGTAGTTACTCGACTCCACCGAGTAAGTAATTTATTCTTGGGGCGATTTATACGCTTTTACAACAAAATCCCAGAAAATATACAAAATTTGACCGGCTCAAAGTTCAAAAACTTTATGAAACAAATTTTGTATAAAAAAGGGTTATTATATAATTAAGGAATTTATGGATGATAATAACCCTGGGAATGAGGTGATCGCACTTCAATAAATATTATTTATAATCTATATTGAATAAAAAAGTTTGTGTCTATTTCTGGTTTTTCTTTTTAAGCTTTTTTTTCTTATTGTCTTAATTTGCACCTGCCAACATTTTATTCTATCTTTCGGATGGTTGACTGGTAGAGAATATTTAGGTAGGTATTTAGTCCGTCCTTTGTAAGCCCTAGTTTAAGGTGTGTTGCAATAGAGGATAAATAAATAAAATATTTGCCATTGTTGCACGGTTGTTAAGCGGGGTGGCAACAGCAGGTTTTTTTATTTTTGAGTTGTTATCAGGAAGACTTTGCAGCCCTTCTGTTTCATTCAACACCCGCGGGATGATGCGGTGTTGTTGATTCTCATATGTCACCACTACTTGTTATTATTGTGTTTAACGGTGCAAGTTTGATGTTTACATATGTGACGTATTTAGTTTATAAGTTGTCACGTGGAATAATAATATACTGACACGAAACTGTTTGGTTTTGTAAATGCCAATTTGCCTGCTAAAGGGCTTGATTATTCCAAATCCTTCCTACAACTAGTGTTTCAGTTGTTAAAAAGCGGTGGTCGATACCATCAGGTGAGCCGCAGGTTCATTTGCCTCCTCTACAAAAGCTTCAAGTCCAGCAATAATAGATTCTAGCGGACTGATAAACGAAAAGAAGTACCCGTCTGGCTAAGTACCACTTTCTTACCTATTTTTGCATGAAAACGATATAACAATCAATAACTATGTTCTGCTCGGTATAATTAGTTATTAATTAGTTCAGTGGAATTTCCATATTAAGTTGCGCAACAACAGATGCGTTGTTTGCTGTTGTCTATGGTCAGCACCGGTCATCTTGCCACTTAATGACATGCTAGCTTGATTGTTACTGTTCTGATCGAGAACCATTTATTTAATCGATTTATTATTTGTGTTTCTAATACTGTTACCAAACCATCCTCACACTTTATAACTTAAGAAATTTTACCGTGGGTACATTCTAGCTACATTAACTGTTGACCTAACAGGCTGGGTTGCGTGTTAGAAAAAAATAACAGCATTAGTCCTTTAAAATAGTAGTAATTTATTTTACATCTTAAATATTACTTCATTATTGACTAAATTTAAAACTATATCAGTCACTTTTAGCTGTTTAAGCTTTAACGCCGTTCTTATATCTATTTCACATATCCACTTAAAATTAGGCTAAATCTTTAAACCTAACTTTAAGACGAAATGCCCAAGATAATGCTTGGACCCCTTCAACACTAAAATGGATTGTTCTTGACAATTTTATAGATTATTAAAGTCATTACTTATACAGTTTATGAATCAAAGAGTCAATAGAGATTGAGACTCATGAATCCGTCGTTTCCTTTTTTAAAAGTTCGGCATTAGATTTTCCAATGTTAACATGAATTGTGATGGCTTCATCTGTATCAGATTTCATTATTATATCGTTCCATTGTACTTCAGCCTTTTTACTGTACGCTTCATTTTCTATTAAGATTGCTGATTTTGTGCACAATGCCTTGCTTTGGAATTCAATTAATGCACAGTAGTCGCTCTTTTTCGTTTCGGATTTCGCGTCCGCTGTATACCCAAGCTTGCGTCTCATCACTTCAACTTTGACGTGAAAGTTGTAGATGCATACTTTGATAATGAAAGCGCTCTTCTGGTAGAGTAGAATTATTTTGTACTTCGTCCTACAGCACGCGGTCTTCTTGAGTTTAGTCTGAAAGTTTTCTATGAGGATTTTGATCTTCTGTGAGTAGACCGCGATGATGTTGTGATGGGACTGAAGATGTGCTGAGAGCTCCTCAAAAGCTACTGAGTAGCATGTTGGTGTTATGGGGCATATCATAGTATCATATTTACATTCTTCCTCGTGCTTCGCTCTGGTGGAAGCTGTCAGTAGTTCTGTGCAGCCGCGTCTGTGAAAAAAATATACTTTTAAGATAATTCTTATTTATGTACCCTTCTCTATTCATAAAATGTGAGTTCAATAACAGTTGATAAAGTCTGTGATTTCTGATAAGTCTAATAGACTTATCAGAATTTAAATTATCTATTATCAAAAATATATTTCCAAAATAAACACTTTGGAAAGGTTTCTTATCATTTAAAGTGTGAATCCCCAAGAAAAATATAAAATACATATAATAAATACAAATAGACTATCTAGAATTGGTTTCGATAATAATAAAAGATAAAGTTTTATCAAAATAAATGGCAAATACAAATATAAGTAGAATCATATGAAAGAAAACAAAGGAACTGATTTAATAACTAAAAGTTGAGTGTCTCTATTTAATCCATCTTGTTATGGGAGGAAGAACTTGAAAAATAAAGACACATCGACTACGCGGACACAAAGATCCAAGAATCTAAAAAGCTTCTTCAAGCCTCTAAACGTAGAAGGGTGGCAATGTTAGTCTAGAACGTATTAGAAAAATTAGGACAATAGGAACAACAGAACGCTAAATAATTTCATTTAGTGTTTTTTGGATATCTGTTGCCTAAGGCGGCTTCGTTATGGTCAGCAACTATGCCATAGGTAGTTGAACAAAGCAGTCGATGAACGTGATTGGTATCATTATCATCATTACAGCCCTTCACAAATCCACTGCTGAACCAAGGAATACCATAAAGGCCATATATGAACATAATTAAATATAATATCTATAAAAGGAACGAATTACCGTTGCTACATTTTCTTATCTGTGTTTATGTAACAGTTTCATATCAACACAATAAAAACAACGAAGTGGTTGCACGATAAAAATGCATCGCAAGGCTAAGTAATACGTTCAATAACATACCAAGGCTTTGTTCATTATACTTCTAATGAAATATCATAAACAAGGTTGATTACAATGGTTGTAATAGTTTTAAAACTATATCCACATTCACCGTACTAGTAAGCTAGTAAAGTTCCAGGTTCATATAAAAGACAAAAATAGTTCGAAGACACGTCAAGTTGCGTCACACACGTTGATGCTGCTAGGCGGTAATTTCCTAATCCTAAAACTCTCCGAGAGATGAGATTAAGCCCAGCTGTGGGATATCTATAAGCTATAATTTCATTTTACTATTAGAATATTATAGTATCGTGAATACAGACAGGGTTTCTTAATACAGCAAACTTTTAATATAGCGCTACGCAAGTATCTGCACAAAGAACATATTGTTGTTTTGTTTTTTAATCCGAGTTGGAGAAGGAATGTACAAAAATACACATAATGCCAATTTCTTTGTATATGGCGGCGTCAGAGAAATTAATCAAACTTAACGAAAAAGAAGACTCCGGAACATAAAGAAACCATAAAAATGGTCATCTCTAAATGACCACTAAATTATACTGCCTCAAATTATCTGTCTATGTTTATTGTTTAAGCTAAATACCACTGACTCACTCACTCATCACGAGATCTCTAAAATTATACGCCTGATTGACTTGAAATATGGCATACAAGTTTATACGTCTTTCTCGACGTAGACTATCCACCTAGAAATGATTTTGGAAAATTCAATCCCTGAACGGGTGAAAGAGGGTGTTATAGCTTGTTATCCATACAGGTGACTAGGCAAGGTTATCTTAAAAAAAAAAGTAACGCGAAGGTTTCCTGCCTGCCAAATTTCTCACTTTCAGTTTGCAGTTAACATTCTCCTGGTAGCCTCTGACATAAGTTGTCTTGTACCTACCTATAATTTCGACAAGGTAACATAAGGTCGTTGATGAGCCGTTGTAAGGCTAGACAGGGTGCTGCTGGAGCCCGAAGGCTTCCTCGACACCACGCACATCGGGACATTCTCCTCGAACAGCGTCCGCACCAAACGCCGCCGCACCAAGGGCATACGCAGGGGCCACAGCACTGCAAAGAAGAAAAAATAAACTTAGAATGTTTTGTAGTTAGTCAAGTAATTATGTCAGGGAGTATATAAGAAAGCCACAGTCCACCGAATAGTAAGCGGATACTGTGGCATATTGACATCTACATTCTACATCTATTATATACATATACTATTATATATATATACATATTATGTATATTATGTATATATATACTATTACGTGGTAAAGCCATGCTGCAGCCATATTAATAGTATAGTAGTAGCACGAATGGGTCGGTTCGACCGGGGAAGGACCACGCTCTCACAGCATACCAGCGTTAAATAGCGGCTTAATGCTTATTTTTTTCGTATGATGAGTGTAAAGAACCGGAGACCCTATTTACTGGAAAAGAAGCATTCCATCTTAGTCTTCGAGGCTGACAACGCATCTGCATTTTGATCCGCATACGAGGATAGAAGTAGATGTCTATGGGCCACAGCAACCACTTACCATCAGGTGAACTGTGTGCTCGCTTGTCACCCTTATCCTATAAAAAAATTCTATCCTCGATTCTGATGCACGTGCATTCATCAATTTCCAACATCTCTTACCAGGTCACCACTTCAACTCGTGGGTTCTCTCCCTACACTTCGCTTATAGGTAGGAGGCTGTCTTTCGAGAACCTTTCTTCCCCATCGGTTGTCGGTTCTTCGAGCTATATGACCGGCCCATTGCCACTACAGCTCACTGACTCGTTGGAATATGTAGCTTACTGCGATTCTACTTTTTTATTATAGAATAAGGGTGACAAACGAGCACACAGTCCACCTGATGGTAAGTGGTACCGTGGACCATAGAAATCTTACATTTCGATATCTTCAATTATGAATCAAAATGATGCGTTGTCACCCCTGAGGATTGAGATGGAATGCCTCGTTTCCAGTTAAAAGGGTCTCCCGTGCTCTACACTCACCATACAAAACACATAATATTTGGCCCAAACACATCTTACATTTCGATATCTGCCATTATGAATCAAAATACAAATGCGTTGTCACCCCTGAGGACTGAGATGGAATACCTCGTTTCCAGTAAAAAGGGTCTCCCGCTCTCTACACTCACCATAAAAACACAGCATATTAGGTCATCATCATCATCATTACAGCCTTTCACAAGTCCACTGCTGAACATAGGCCTCCTCCAAGGAATGCCACAATGCACGGTCCTGAGTCACTTGCATCCATCGACTTCCTGCATGTCTTAACAGGTCGTTACTCCATCTCGTGGGGGGTTACCCGACACTTCACCTACCAGTACGAGGCTGCCACTCAAGAACCTTTCTTCCCCATCGGTTGTCGGTTCTTCGAGCTATATGGCCGGCCCACTGCCACTTCAGCTTACTAATCCGTTGGGCTATGTCGGTTACTCTGGTTCTACTGCGGATATCCTCATTTCTAAGTTTATCACGCAGAGAAACCCAGAGCATAGCTCTTTCCATAGCTCGCTGAGGGACCTTGAGCTTCCTCATACGGTCAGCAGTGAAGGACCACGTCTCAGATCCGTAGGTCATCACTGGCAATACGCACTGGTTGTACAATTTCGTTTTAAGGTTTTGAGGTATGTCTAACGAAAAGATGGGTCGTAGTTTCCCGAACGCTGCCCAGCCGATTTGAATTTTATTAATTTAATTTGATTTAATTTAATTTATTAATTTAATTTATAGTTTCAAAATAAATAAATAAACAAAAACAGGGAAGTGATTAATGTGTGGACAATTAATATTAACGTTTCGTTTATGTTTATGCATAATTTATATATGAACTTTAATATTTATATATATATATATATATATATATATATATATATAAATATATATATATATATATATGATAATTATATAAGTATATATACACATATATATGTGTGTGCTCGTCTTGTATATATGTATATTAAATATATGTATAGTATAGATGTTTAGTATTAAATATAACACATATAGAATACTTTATTATATTACAACTTTTATTATTTTTTGATTTAAATTTGTAAATTTGTTAAATTTGTAAAGTTGTTTACTTTTCTTTTGTTTCAACAATGAAAACATGCATAGTTCTTTTAGTATTACCCGTTCTTTTAGTACAACTCTGGGAGAGGCCGCTGATTCCTAAGATACAGACTCGTCTAGTTTAGGAGTCAGAGACTTCATAAAATTTCTTGTGATTTATTTTTGACAATAAAAGAATTATTATTATTATTATTATTATTAAATCCGTCGATTGACCTCTCGGTCGAAGTTGGACTTACCTAGTCGGACTATTTGTCGTTGTCGTCAACAACTTCGAGCTTAGTGCTCCCAACAACTATCGGCATAGGTGTGACATGGACGTTAAACATGATTTTGTTTTGTCCATGTTCATCTTAAGACCTATCCGTTGAGAGACACTATTGAGGTCATTGAGCATAGTGCTTAGGTCCTCCAGCAATTCTGCCATAAGAAATATATCGTCGGCAAATCGAAGGTGAGTGATGTACTCGCCATTGATGTTAATACCGCATCCTTTCCAGTCCAGCAGCTTGAAAACGTCTTCCAATGCAGCGGTGTCTTACACCTCTCTGCAGTTGGATAGGTTTCGTACTCTGATTCTGTACTCGGATAGCCATCGTAGCTCTACTGTACAAACACGTCAGCACTTCGCTATACCGACAGTCAACTTGGCACCGCTGAAGGGACTGCAGCACTGCCCAAATTTCGACGGAATCAAAGGCTTTCTCATAGTCCACATACGCAAGGCAAAGTGGCAGTTTGTACTTGTCTGTCGTCTGTACAATTTGCCGAAGGGTGTGTACGTGGTTTATGGTACTAAAGGCTTTTCGGCAACCGGCTTGTTCGGGAGGCTGGAAGTCGTCAAGTCTGCGTGCGAGACGATTCGTAATGACACTAGAAAACAGCACGTAGACGCAGCTCGGAAGGGAAATTGGTCTGTAGTTCTTCAAGAGAGCGTTGTCGCCTTTCTTGAAGAACAAGACCACCGCACTTCTGCTCCACGCCTCCGGAGTAGTGCCATCATGGAGGACGGAATTAAAGAGCTTCTGAAGGACTTCAAGTACCAGTTTTCCACCCACTTTCAAAAGTTCAGCTGTAGTTCCATCCTTGCCCGGGGACTTTCTGTTTTTAAGGTGCTGGAGAGCCATTCTAATCTATCAGACTGACGTCCGGGATATCTTCGGAATAGTGTCGGATTAGACTCGCTCTTGGATCGTTACTCACATTGTGTGTGGCTCCAACGATGACGTGTACAGCTGCCCATAGATCCTCTCAATCTCACTCAAAATCTCAGGTGTCCCGGAAACGATGCTGCCACACTCGGTCTTCAGCTTTGACAGTTGGCTCTTTCTGACAGGCAGATCCCTGGCAACTTTGGAGACTTGGTTCCGCTCGATCGCTTCTTCAATACAAGCTGTATTGAAGTTGCGTAAGTCCCGCCGCATGCATTTGGAGATCTGTCTGTTCAGTTGCCTGTATGCTGTCAAATCTGTTGAAGAATGTAGCTTCATCTCCCGTCTAACTGCCATGAGTTAAAGAGTGTGATCGGAGAGTTTTTGTGTTCCTCTGCGGCGGGTTTTGCAGAACTTAGCATGCCGCAAACCGCATGGACAGTTTCCACGAGCTTGTCATTCATATCGTACACTTCATTGCAGTTTTCTAGGCACTGAAAACGGTTTTGTAACTCGAGCTGAAAGGTTTCAGGACTTTGGAACAGAGCACGAGGGTGGCCGGAGCGTTGAATTCATTAGAAGAGTTCTCTCCAACTTAAGGTTTAGGTTCAGTGTGCCTCTAACCATTCGGTGATCGCTACCAGTTTTCACCCTCGCGATCACGGAGACATCACTGAACAGTTGTCGTCTGGTCGTCATAATGAAGTCAATCTCATTTTTTGTGGAACCGTCGGGGCTCGACCAGGTCCTTCCTGTGGGGCCGCTTCTGGAAGAAAGAGTTCATCATAAAGAGTCCCTCTTTTTCCATGAAGTCGGCCAGCTGCTGGACCCTTGGGTTCCGTTGCCCTATTCCAAATTTCCCTACTTTCAGCTCACCGTTCTCTCTTGTGCCTAGGTTTGCATTGAAGTCTCCCATTAACACCGTATAGTGGGTTTTGGAGGAATGCATGGCTATAGAGATATCCTCATACATTTCCACCACCTCCTCATCGGGGTGTGCGTGTGCGTGCGTGTGGTCAGCGAATACCGTTTGGTGATTCTGAGTATAAGGTACGCAACCCTCGTCGACACACTCTCAATCTTTACAACGGTGTTAACGAGAGACTTGTGGACGATAAATCCGACACCTCCTTGGGACAGATGGTCGCCCTCCCGGTAATAGAGCAAGTTGCCGGATTCGAGGATTACCGTGTCCTCCCCCTCTCTTCGGACCTCGGATAATCCTATAATATGCCAGCGTATCTTGTCTATGTCTTCTTCCAGCTCCACAATCTTCTCGTCAGTCCTCAGGGTGCGTGCGTTGCATGTTGTCAGGTCGAGTCGTTTTAGGTGGCAACCGAACCTCCACCGGAGATTCTTAGCACCCCCTGCCCCGCCGTCACCATGGTCGCCACGGTAGCCAGGAATAGCGGGGCCGCCGGGGACTGGGGGCCGTCTCTTTGTTACTCTCATCATAGGAGGGTATTTGCCATAGTTGTCACGCTTGGCGAGCGGGTTGGCAACCGAAGTTTTTTTTATTGTAACTTTGCTGTAATCAGGAAGATGCTGCTGCCCATCTCCTGCCTGTTTCCCTTTGTCGCCTTTTACGACACCCGCGGGAAGATATAGGGTAGTGGATATTCTTAACTGCCACTACACGGCATATTAGGTAATCTGTGAGATAGCAAAATCGTAATTAAACATTCATAATCTTCGCCAAAAATTCGTAAAGATCAAAGTGTAAAGTTTACTTAAATGTTTAAAAATAATCAAAAATCGGCTCTTTGTTATTAAGGTACTTTCATTTACTTTACGTTACAATTAATATTGGCCTTATAACATAAAGTCTAGTAAAATCTAATAATATGTTGTTAAAGTTATACAAATTTACTACACGGTTAAAGTTAAATACGATGTTACAGTTTCGTGTGTTAAACTAACTTTGTTTTAACTTGCACCGTTCGTAATAAAGTGCGGTCTATCTAAGACAGTTTAGGTGTTGAGGAGTATAGATGTACGCATTAATTAGAAGGTTCCATTTAATAGCAACGTAATTCTGAGCTTATTATAACGACATGCTTATTAAACTAATTAAAATACATACTTCTACGCTCTGACTTGAGGAACTAAAGAATAATAGTGTTCTGTGAACTGGCACATTTCAAAATTCAGCTGAATAAAATAAAAATAAAAATGCGGTTGCAACGCTTGATAAGCGTAACAATCTGTGGGGGAGACCTATGTTCAGTAGTGGACTAAGCTCAAGCTACTCATTGTTGTTTTCATCGTGTATCGTGCATGACCTTGGCGGTACGTACAAGATTGAAAGTTTGTAGGGCGTTTTAATAAAATGAATATTAATATAAAAATAAAGTAGGGTCATGTCATTTTAATTTATATTTATTAAATATGAACAAAATATGAGCTCTAACATTAAAATAGGACGTGATTTATTATTTTAAATACAATATAAAGTAAATTCGTCTTAGGTGCACGGCAGCGCACGTATATAACAGTGGTAGAGCCACGCGGCAGCTTTTGCTGTCGCACGGATGGGCCGGCTCGAACCGGGGTAGTACCACGACCTCACAGAAAACCAGCGTGAAGTAGAGGTTTACCTCTGCGTTTCGCTTGGTGAGTGCAGGTGGCCGGAGGCCCTTTTTACTGGAAATGAGGCATTCCATCTTAGTCCTCACGGGTGACAACGCATCTACATATTGATTTGTAACAGAGGATAGATGTAGATGTCTATGGGCCGCAGCAACCACTTACCATCAGGTGGACTGTGTGCTCGTTTGTCACCCTTATCCTATAAAAAAAAAAAAAAAAAAAAAAAAAATATCCTAAGGTTTTTGTTCAACATCAGCGTACCGTAATGTACTTCATTTAGCACAGTTGTTTTTAGTACATAATTTTACTTAAGCACTCGACTTGCGAACATAAAAGAAATAAATCCTGTGTTCTTTTTATTTTTTTTAAAATCCCTTCAATAGGATTTTCTCCCGTACTGTGGAGGCAGTATGCAAACTTAAATGTTCCAAGGACAAATATCAAGATTCGGAAATTTTATTTGTGGGCCATACAACTAATTGATCCGTGCGGGATTCGAACACGTGGCCCTAAGCACCGCAACTCATTGCTAAGACATTGCGCCACGAAGCCCTCCCTCCATCTTATATGACAGTACTGTTGAATCAGAGTTAAATGAAAGTTGATGATGCCACCGTTACGCTAACTTTGGCGCTTTGTTACTTATAACCGTTGATGTTAGTGACCACCATAGAATACTATAATACATATTTTGTATTCTATGGTGACCACCGCCTGTACTGTAACTGTAATACAATATGTCCGAATTAATTTAATGTCAGAATAATAACACTTTCGTAGTAAGCCCATAGAAATTTCAATCACATGACGGCTCGGTGATACAGTGTCTAACCGCTTGGTTGCGGATCTCACACGGAACAATAGTGTTTGTACCGTCTACAAGCAATTGTTCCGGGCCTGGATGTATTCGTTAGAGGCTATCAAAAGTACAGTGTTGAACACAGGCCACCCCCATAGATTTACATTAAAAGGGTGATATTTGCCACAGCTGCCACTTTTGGCAAGCTGGATGACAATCGCAATTTCTTATTTTTAGTTGTTAATAGGAAGACGCTTCTGTTCTTTGGTTTTGTTTTCGTTACCGTAATTGATATTATATAGTAGTATATTCTTAAATAGCCATTTCACTGTCTAGATGTATGTTCATGTACAATATATGTGTGTAAAACACCTGCACGATATAGGTGATATTGCTATAGGATAAAAAAATAATTAAAAAAATTGCTGTCAAGCATGATGTCATAAAAATGACTCAATAAAAGTTACTCTGATTAAAATGGTTATCTTTGTCCTGTTTTATACAATATATCATCATTACAGCCCTTCACAAGTCCACTGCTGAACATAGGCCTCCCCCAAGGAATGCCACAAAGCACGGTCCTGAGCCACCTGCATCCATCGACTTCCTGCATGTCTTACCAGGTCATCATTCTATCTAGTGGGGGGTCGCCCTACACTTCGCCTACCGGTACGAGGCTGCCACTCGAGAACCTTTCTTTCCCATCGGTTATCGGTTCTTCGAGCTATAAGCTCGACCCACTGCCACTTCAGCTTACTAATCCGTTGGGTTATGTCGGTTACTCTGGTTCTACTGCGGATATCCTCATTTCTAAGTTTATCACGCAGAGAAATCCCGAGCATAGCCCTCTCCATAGCTCGTTGAGCGATCTTGAGCTTCCTCATACGGCTAGCAGTGAAGGACCACGTCTTACTCATTAAAGGCAACAAATATTAGAATAGATTATAGAGGGTTATTTTTCAAAAAGTACTTTTACTACTACTTCAAATATACCTATATAAATAATGATATACCATAACGGTAACAGTTTTTGAAAATACGAGTAAATAAGGCATTTACTTATATTTGAAATTATCCCAAATTGTATGTGATTTAAGGGCCACAAAGTTTTTGCCTACCAATACACCCTTACAAATTAATGTAATATACGTGCGCATCAGTAAAATCAGTTAAATAAGCATTACCACTTATTTTGAATTTCGAAGATAAAAAGGACAGAATTATTGATATTTTTTTAAATTAATATTTCTTCACCATTTGCCTATATTACTTATACTGAACTTTCTCTGCAAATTTGGCCGGTTATTGTAAAAATAACCCTGTATAGTGTGGGAAATGACAATTGGAAAAGAAATAATATTTTTATAATATACAAGAAATTTATTTATCATTCTATTAAAAGCCATGAACATTGGCATTTTCCATAGATTCCTCACAGGGATTCATTTCGCCATGTCACGCTTGGCATGCGGGTTGGCAACCGCAGTTTAGTCCTTATTGAGTTGTCATCAGGAAGATGCCTCTGCCCATTTCTTTTTTCATGGATCAATGTTTACGTATACAGGAAAAGACGAGTAGTGTCAGACTCGTACCGACTAAACCCCATGGTATTCAACGTTTGCTGAATTTTAATGTTCTCCAGACCGAATTTTAGTCACCGCGGCCAGTCTCAACGGAGACTATCCATCTGCGCATGCATGCGCAAACACAGGTGCACTCTCTATTCTCTAATTCGCATAATTCGATTGGACGGCAATCCGATAGGACCAGAGAGAGATCATGCGCAGGACCAACGGCTTTACGTGCTTTCGATGCGCGGGAGTGAAACATCGCCAACTTCCAGAATCCTCGCTACTGAGAATTTTTTGACAGAAAATCACTATAATTGGTTTTGGCCCGACCCGGTATTTGACCCTCAAGGGATTTGATTACGTCATAATTATTCATGTTGAATACAGTGATCTACTGATTTCTAAGGTTATTCAATTGAAAATTATTTAAAAAAAATGCTAAGCTGTATGTTACACAAATACACAAATTAGTTTTATTGTGTACGACAGTTCCCATAGTTAATAAAACAAACTGTAAATGAAGGGCATCACGCGGGGTAATTAACATGTGAGTGATATCAAAATCGATAAATAATAACGCCTATATTATTAATGTTTTAATTACAATAATTACGATATTATCGATTAACTTCCAATAATATCTAACATATTTAGGACAATTGCCCAAGTACAATGACAAGTACAATAGGTAATTAATATTCAACTACACTAATATCGGGTATAGAACCGGAACGAAGCTTAAAAGTTTATTTATAAAACATATTACCGGTAACACTATACATTTTTTTAATTAAATTAGTTATACTTCGCGGAAATGACAAACCGGTGGAGTAGACGTGTTATGGAGTGTAGGCAAACGTGGTGTGGGACGCTCCTGCCCTGACTAGGTGGCTGGCAGCAACTGGATGCGTGTAGCCGAAGATATATTGCTTCATAGGAAGGATTTTGCCATAGTTGTCACGCTTGGTGGGCAAGATGGCTACCGCAGTTTTGGTATTTGTTGTTATTAAGAAGATGCTGCTGCCCTCTTCTGACTTTTTCCCGCTGTCACCTCTTACGACACCGTCGGAGCGATATGGGGTATTGGATATTCTTATACATATTATCATTATTTAATTTTTATTACCTGTAAGGGTTCCAAGCATATACTACACTCGGAGAATTTGGACAAAACTTCATCGCAATTAGGACACGTGCATTGTGCAGCATGACCTTCCTCCGACGTATCAAGCGCTGGCTCGACGATAGGAAGAGGTTTATCTGCAAAGAATTTATTACTGTTATGCATCGGGTACTTTTATTTAACTTTAAAACAACAAATAGTTAAAGCCAACTTCATGAAACTAAAAAGAACAAAACAATTTCTATAAATAGCTTCAGAAGTCGGATTTTTACATTTAGAAGTATGAAAGCACCGCACCAACTTTAGAAGCTACTAAGTGTTAATTATTTAACAATTGTTAATTTCGTAAGGTCATTTACTTTCATTAAAAGTCTAATTTTGGTGACCTTAAAAGTTTGCAATAAGCAACATCAAAAGCTAGAATTTCGTCTCAACAGATACATTAAAAACTTCTCTTCTTCTTCTTTCATCCTAGCCCCCTCCCTCCCCCGGGAGTTAAGCAATGAAGTACAACATATTTAGTAAAAAAAGAAATATTGAAATCGGTTCACAATTGATGAAGATATCGCGTAGCATATATACAAAAAAGAACATACAGTTAAATTGATAACCTTCTTCTCTTTAGAGGCGTGGTAATAATTAGCGCAATGGGCAGAATTGGTATTCTGATATTGGATGCTAAATTAGGAAATATTTTCGGCTTACTATGCAATTGTGGTTATTACGTACCTACTTATACATTCTAGTTCTTAGTGTGTTACGTTAAGTAGCCAACATTCCATAAAATAAAAATATTGTAACAACATAATTCAACATATATGATCCCATTATGGTACATTAACTTTAAAGTCATTTTATGAACGTACTATATAGATCAACAAACTTCCGTAAACAATACATTAACAGTTAAAGCATTTACTGTTATTTACTGATAATCGATTGATTTTTAGTAATACAATGCACATACTAATCCTTGACTCGAGTGTTGTGATAATTATGTTATGAGCCGTCGAGTGTACCGTATTAGGAACCAAGCATACACTTTAAAGGCTAAGATATGCGTATTGAAGTGTAGACGAAGGTCGAGAGTTGTTCGCACTTTGACAAATAATTTAAAATTATAAATGTTATACAACCGACTTCAATATAAATTGTTAAGAATCACTCAAAAACTATTAGTCAGACCTTGATCTAATTTATATGGGACCATATGAGAAGCACCAGCTTTCAAATATAAAAAAAAAGAATCATAGAAATCTGTTCACCCAGAAAAAAGTTATGAGGTAACACACATAAAAAAACATACAGTCGAATTAATTACCGTCTTCTTTTTGAAGTCGGTTGAAAATAAACAGACTCCGCGGCGGTGGAGCTGTCTCCAGAAACAAAACACAAAAACAATAATTGGACGAAAAATTTATACGTATTTACTATGTCGAATATGACCTTCAGTCCTTTAACATCATGTAGTTGAGACAAACCGAATTCGGAAAAAACAACACTGAATGAATCATCTATCTCTAGCTACGTTAAGATCATGTTGTCTTAGGTAAGTAATTTTTTTGTGAACAAGAATGAAAAAGGTTTATAATATAACAATAACTCAGAAATAAAGATAAATGTTGATTTGATGACCAAACATTCTAATTGTATTTTTGGTACCCTTGATAATTTAAAGGAATACTCGTCTATAAAGATTTTCTACCGACTTCAAAAAGTAGCCGGTATTCAATTCGTCTGTATGTTTTTTTATGTGTGTTACCTCATAACTTTTTACTGGGTGAACCGATTTCGATGATTTTTTTATTTGAAAGCTGGTGCTTCACATGTGGTCCCATATGAATTTGATCAAGGCCTGACCAATAGTTTTTGAGTTATTCTTAATAATTTATTATTTAAGTCGGTTGTACAAAATTTTAAATTTTAAATTATACGTACTCATATAAATAGATCAACTCAAATACTTGTTTTGCCTTGTTAACCAAAAAGGTGATACGAATTATACCTGTTTCAAACACGTTAATATACTAGAATCGTCTACGAAGAGACAGATTAGGCTTAAATGTTTATTATTATTAATTAACATAGAAGCGATGTACAGGGACAATGCTGACACTGATAATATAGTTTCACGGCTTATAGTTACTCCTGACTGAGCGTCGTAAATGAATAAATAACATAATATACTTAAGGCTAACATCTCAATTAAGTATTTCTTAATTTTCCGCGGGAAATATTATTCTAAGGAAGTATAAAGTTGTTTTTTCTTTACAAGGATAAAAAATATTGTATATATTTGAATGTTATGTTATTTAAATAAATATATACATAGTAGGTACTAACTAATTTAGGGATTTAATCGTTTCATAACAAAATCCATTTTTTAATTTATCAATTACTTGGATATGTTAGTTTTTTTTTTTTTATTGTATTAAGTTTTTTTTTTATATTGTTTAATATCTTATACTTCAGTTTATAAGGTATTTGGCTTAATATCGATCAGTTGGTTAATTTAAGATTAGTTCAATGTAAAAACAGTTTGTTGATGTAAAAAAGCAAAATCTTATTTGTATCGCAACGAGGAATTGGGTAACGCTCAAGGCTGACTATCTCAGTCCAACGAAAGAGAAAGGTTTTGAGGTTAAAGCTACGACAGTTGCTGAAACCTGTTTCGCGGTTGAAACAAGTTGCGGTCTCTTTAATTACGGATTAAGAATTGCAAGTACATTTTTCAATATTTCCTAACACCGTTTTGGTATTAATTATTGTATCATTACTTTAAATGTATATCATATATATTTATGTTTTAACTAATATGCAATAGACGTCAAAGTCACTCTATTTGATTTAACATCCCTTACAGGTTAGTCCTTAGCAACTGTTTTAGAGTTAAAAGTTACAGCCTATATACGTCCCACAGCTGGACTCAGGCCTTCTCTCATTTCTAAGAGGGCTTAAGGGCAAGGAAATGTCCGCCACGCTGCCTCAATAGAATAGAATAGAACAGAATAGAATAATTTTTATTCAATATTGATTACAAGTAATTGTTATTGAAAGTATTTTTTTTACTTTATGACTTGTTAAAAAAATCCTCTGTGCTGGGAAGAACCAGCAAGAAAACTAGCGGGACTTTTTTAAATAAAATTTGCAATATAAATTCTACTACAAGCAAACTACAAACTAGACTCAAGAGTCAAGACAGAAGTCAAGATTACAAACTATTTACAAAATTTATTTTAGAAACAGCTTTAAAGCGACCACCTCATTCCCATGGGGTTATTATCAATCATGTTTTCATTTATATTATAATAATTCTTTTTATACAGTTTTTGTTTAATTAAATATTTAAACTTGGTAATAGAGATATTTTGTATATTTTCTGGGACTTTATTGTAATAGGTTTAACATCTGTAAAAATCTATATAGGTCGCACTAGGCCCAGCAATACGTGTTGGTTCTAAAAATAAATTAACAAGATTATACGATTTAAACAATGAGCTAAACTTAAATTCGACTCCACATATTACAACAGACTTGTTCTGTTTACTAAGTTTGAACAGAACTTCTTCCAAAATCCTTTCAAAATACATATTGGTAAGTAACACATGGGGGTTTATAACAATGAGGTGCTCGAGCCATTTCTACAGTCTGCTCAACAGAGAGGCTCACAATATCCTTACATTCTTTATATAATAATGATTTATCAGCTAATATTAAGGAGCCACCACGTAAACTTTTTCCCCTGAAGGAACTGACCACCTGGTGATTTCTGATTAAATTATAATCTTTTAGCCAATGTTCAGTAATACAAATGATACTCGTATGTATGTTGTTACTATTTAAAAACAATTCAACTTCCAATTCTTTGCCCATCATGCCTTGTAAATTTTGATGCACCAGGTATAAACAATTCTTATTACTTATTTTGTGGGCTGCATTCTGCTAGAGATTTCCTCTGTTGTTGGATTCACTCATTTAAATTAGTTAAAACTGATTCCAAATTAAATGGCAAATGATTACACTGCTCAATAGAAGCAGTCTTGGTAACCAAAAACTTGGCTAAGTTAAAATGTAAATAAAAAGATATAAACTAAAAGATATAAAACTAAAACTAATGTCGAGTTTTATTTTATTTTTTTACTTTTTACTATTTACAGATCTCAAATCAAATTATCGTTAGAATAATTCGAAATGAAACCCACAAAGAATATAATACTTAATCCGCGAGTAATAGAATCGGTGTTTAATTATAAGTACCTGGATGACCGAGCTTAGCTCGGTATTTTTTTTTTTTTGAAATCCAGTTTATGGAAATTATATTTCTATTAAAAAATAATAGTAATATTACTCGCCAATAGATGTCAGGAAGAGTTATATTTTCAGTTTATGTTTAATTTGATTATCGTTGAAGAGTTATTGATTTGACTTTTATCTTTGTACCAAAACATTGCCAATAGGATAAAAATATTTGCACAATGTCGGTTTCTTTACTTATGTAATTATTACCGTATTCTTTTTTTAAAGCTCGTTCGTTTTTTTTTCGTGTTTTAAAAAAATATACTTAGATACAAATTGAATGCGTTGATAAAGGGCTCCCAATAAAAGTTTTTCTCACAAAAGAGGGAACTTGAAAAAAAGGGAAAAAATCGGACTGGAGATATCTGGACTTGAACTGGGGTTCTGGTTTCGGGACCGCCCACCTGAGCTATTATAACCTTGTAGACAGAGGCAAAATTTACATTTGTATTTTAGTAATATTGTAGCAGTTTTTCATTGTCTGAAAACATGGATAAAACGACATTTTAAAAAAAATGAATCCTAGCTAGATCGATTTATCGCCTCCGAAACCCCCTGCATACTAATTTTCATGAAAATTGTTGGAGCCGTTTCCGACATTCCGATTATATATCTACACAAGAATAGGTAGATAAAGGAATGGTAAGGAATAAGAATTACAATGATTTTAAACAATATGTGTTACCTATCACTTTATGTTCCAACACAAAATTGTTATAATATTTATATACTGAATTTCTTAATACAATTTCTTCGAAGAGATTCGCAATATGGCAGGTTTGAAAGATGACCTTATCACAAAAATTGATAAGGTCATCTTTCAAACCTGCTTCGTGCTTCG